ATGTATATTTTTAGGGATGCGCGATGGTATCAGAATCATATAAACCTTCACAGACAACTGCTTAAAAAACAAGGACACACAGTGCCACTGATGTAAAGCAGCAAAATCCCAATAGCATCCTCTTGTGGATAACCTTCAGCTTGCTAAATGTGAGTTACAAGCAAGGTCCATAAGATGCATATGATGCTTTACATCTGCAAAGGACAGATGTTTAGTTTTGACCAACACTTCAAAACAATATTTGATTATTTATTGTACTGTGGAAGAGCAGAAGGTTTAGGCAACGCTGGGCAACTGTACTAAAATGCCTGTATTTTATTCAGTTCGCTGCGTTTGCAATCATGGTTTATTTCAATGTCTCAATTTATATGTGAACCATTCTACTCAAAAACAACTATAAAAAAAAAGTATTCAGACCTTAGACATCTGCTAGGATTATATTATGATCTGTTTCAATCCAAGCCATTAACTGAGATAGTAATAAGCTTAAAAAAATATACAAAATCATCATTTATAAGGTTTTTTCTAGCGGGTGGTGGCTGTCTCAAGCCCTAACCCCTAAATTTCAACTTGTCGAAATAATACTCACACTCTGTTATTTATTTATTTTTTTTCATCTTTATTTTTTAAGTGAATTTGAAAGTTTTAGATTTATTATGAATTCAGTGTTAAAAATATGTCACCTCACATTTTCATGTCACTACTGAAACAAAAGATTTTTAGTCCATAGGTGGAGTCTTATTTTAGTCACACCCCTGCATTTTAGAGCAGGAAGTGAGACTGTATCCCTGTCCCTCATGTCCACATGGTGAGCAGCTCCTATTGTTTTAAAGTAAAGGTGACCTAAAGCTGTGTGTCTCTACCAAAACACATATTTTGTGCACATACTGAGAAACATATTTTCTTAGTTACACTTTTTTTTTATTTTAATAAAAAACATTACGATTTTAACTGTTCAAAGCCATGTTTTCTAGTCGAGTGCTGGCTAGCGTTTTTTAATTCTGCTCAAAATTAGCTAGAACTGTCACTACAAACACAGTCACTACTGAAACATTTGGTGAAGTTTCAGCAGCATTATGACTGTTTTGGTAGTAACAAAATGGAATCTTCAATGATCTGATTTATTAAACACAATTAAGGTATAGGGTCAATATATTACTTTAAGCCAGCTAAATGTCATAAATGTGTTTTAAACTCTGACTTTGAACCAAATTGGTAGAACAATCCATATTTCACAAATGTGTATCAACATCAGCAGATTTGTGTGTAAAAAATATTGGACACTGGCATCGGCCCACAACTCCCACATTGGTGCATCATCAATATTTTCATCATATCGCCCACCCCTACATCATGTGCATTTGCACACATTTATACACAACAGTTTGGATAGGAAATAATAAAACAGGCCACTGTACTTCATCTGTGCTTGTAAAGAGAAGACATATCTCCTTATGCTGCCACTCACCACAGGAGTCCACACACACACACACACACACACACACACACACACACGTACACACACGGGGTTGTACTCATCGGCACTGTCTGAGCCACGTCTTCATGAGTGAGTATGGGGACGTGGACATTTTTTGTATAGGGAGAGCGACATGAGCGAGATTGCTCTATAGATAAAACATGGACCACCCATTGCGTTCATGCTGTTGGGAGTGTTTATCCATTTGCAAACGTCTTCTGAAGGCTGGAACCAACAGACACACATGCGCGCACACACACACACACACACACACACACACACTTTTAACAATCAGCCCAACACACATGTTTTACAGCACTGATATGATGCAGGTCAGGGGGGTGCTTTAAAACTTAAACCGATAAATAATAAATAAAAAGAAGCCTTTCCAATGCCCTATGTGTCATTATTAACGACATACAGTAAAGTACTGTAATTTGTCCGTGTGTGCTCTTTTATGTTTGATGAAAACTAAACTAACTGTGATAAATCTTGCCATAGATAGCTGTGGACATAGAGTGGGTGGGTGCCCACCGTGATCACAGCTCCACTGTAGGTGTCCATCACTCTTATAGGCTGTGGTGCTATGCTCCCGAGCTAATCAGTGTCCCTCTCTCGGCTGGCTAAGGGGGCCTTCTAGCTGAAGCCACCTCGGTGGCTATCGTCAAGCTCGATGAAATATTAAAGTCGCTCTGTACCTGCAGCTATTGTTGCCCCTTGGAATAAGATATAACCTATTTGTGACATGTTTTCATCCTTCTTCCATAGAAGACACTACACGCAACCAAATCAGGCATAGAGAGGAGGGCTAATGAATAATCTATTTCATATTCCAAAGGCCCTGCTGCTTAAAGAGACACAGAGAGAGAGAGAGAGAGAGAGAGAGAGAGGGAGAGAGAGAGAGAAAGAGAGAGAGAGAGAGAGAGCAGGAGTGAGCAAGCAGGATAGGGAGGGAGGGAGAGAGAGAGGGAGAAAAAAAAGAGAGAGGGATAAAAAGGGTGCAAGAGAGAGAGAGAAAGAGAAAGAGAGAGAAAAAGGTGAAGGGGGGAAAAAAATAGATGCAGCAGATGATACCGCCAGCCTGCCAAGGTATCACATGACACGGCTAATGTTTAAATAATAAAAAAGGGGATATAAACAAATCATTAGCACCCCCAACAGTTGTTTAATGCAATTTCTTAATGAACATAATAGCCAGAACTAATAATGAAAGAAAATAAAAACATCTAAACGGGGCCCAACTTGTCGCCAGTGCTCAATTATTTCCTTGTCAAGTTGTTATGATTTAATGAGCCCCAGTGGGACTGACGGCTGTCAGTCAGTTCTGACTTTTTGACACCATTACAACTTCAAATAGAGCCGCAGCCACGCTGCCTTCCACCAGCCACACACTACTGAAAGGATCTGACAGGCTGCGCGAGAGAGAGAGAGGGAGAGAGGGAGAGAGAGAGAGAGAGAGTGAGAGAGAGAGAGAGGGAGAGAAACACAAAGACACACACACAGTCAGCGAAATGTGCGCACACACACAGAGTTAGTAAGACACACACCGACACAGAGTCAGCACACATACATAGCAAGCAAAATACAGTCACAGCAGCGTTCACACATACAGGTATGGAAGCTAAGCATGCTCTAATCCATATGCACCCACGTATGAAAATAAGCTAAATGTACTGATAATTCTAGAAGAGGACAAAAAGGGACAAACTGTTGGCATGGTAATCACAAACGCAGAAGGTGCAGACGCAAAGCCCCAAAAACTCAATCACTGAGGTCATTATCTGATGAGGTTTGTCAAACTGGCAGGATTTCGCCCCTCCTCATCCTCCTTCCTCTCTCTCTCGTTCCCTCTTTTTTTTTCCTTGTTCATTTATTCCTCAACTTAATGATAACTCTCGACGGGTTGGCCCCACATGGGACGGACAGAGACACACTATTTTGTTGGCCATTAATTTGGTGCTTTGAAGCCAGAACTGTGAAGCGGAGGCAGAGAAAGCCCCCCACCACGCTGCTTCCAAAATAAGACAATCCACCCGGCCTGAAACAGAATACCAAATGCCCTCTGTCTGTCTGTCTGTCCATCAGGACCTCAGCCAGAGGAGGAGCGAGTGTGTGTGTGTGTGTGTGGGAGTGAGCGAGCAAGAGAGAGACAGACAGATAGACAGACAGACAGACAGAATGTGTGTCATGCAGGAATAATGAATACAGTGTGAATAGGTGTGCACTGTGTATGTGTGATTTTGTTAAATGTGAACACAGTATATGTGACCTACATACACCTGCAGCACCTCTGATTTCTGAGCCTGCACCATATCCTGAACATACAGAGAACACAGTGTAGAACATGTGCATGTGACCCTCCTCACACTCCTACACATACACATCAAAACAATCTGCAATATCAGTAGACGGATAACACCATCATGTAGTACACTAATCCATTTGCAGGTGAATAAATATTAGCCAACACTTTATTTGAAGGCTATTCATGTCATAACATGCCTAAGTATTGAATAACTTCTATGAAACAATCCTTAGGTATTTATAAACAACTGTCAGAATTTGCAAGATGACATGTTTTATCAAGCTACAGACAAAACTCTGTAGCTTCAGTTGAGTGAAAGTAGAAATACACTTAGTAAAATATTACTCTGTCAGTATTTCTACTTGAGTACAAAAGCAGAAAATTTTCCAAATGTACTTAAGTACTTTGAGTTTTTACAGTTATGCTATTTTGATGAAGTTCTATTAAGGAGACATGCAGCTGTAGACTTAACAAACAGAGTTAGTTGTACATGTCTGCAGCTACACAGTGCACAGAAATTGTACAGGTAAAAATATGCATAACTAATATCTGGAATTTATAATTAGGCCTTTGCGTTTTAAGTTCAATTACTTGGAAACGATGCTTCATAACAGTGTTATAAACAGAACAGATGTTTGTCACTTTAGTTTAAGGCCCATTATGTCAATGTTATGTAATTTACTTCATAAAACATCTTATGTCAACTTTAGAATGCTGGCACAAGCTATAAATGTTCAAGTACTGCTCTACAAATATGCTACTCAATGCTCATATGTAGGTAGCCTTTAAATAACGTGTTAAACATTATTAATCTCTTTCATCATTACTCATTTAAAGTAGAATTTCACTGACTTTCCAACATTTCTATGTAATTGAAAGGATAAGATGTAAACAAAGTCACTCAGGTTAGTCTGATGTGAAATGGTCTGTTCTTTTCTTCAGATTTGCAACTATTTTATTGCTATTAACATCACATAACATTACTTACACGTAGGTTCACTGGTTGTTTTGAAGAGTAAATAAAATGGCAATATTTGTGTTGCAGACGTTGTTACCCCTGGATTCTATCACCACCACTGTAAAGCAAGTGGAGTCAGTAAGTGTTTCTATGATTAACTATTTCATATCAAACCACTCTGAATGACTTTTTGAAGAATCAGTGTTATTCCCCATTAAGGGTTGGTCCTAAAAATAAAAATGACAAATAAACATCAAAACTGCCAGAGAAATATGGTGTTTTTTATATTAGAGAGAAATAATACAGTCTTCAGTATCGCTAAAATCAATTTCATATTAACTGAAAGAGGGAAAACACATCAATACAGTAACCATCAACATGAAATAAATACAGATAACAATCCTCATTAGTACACTGTGTGTGCGCTATAACAAATGATTATGCCGTACATCATTAGTAAAGCTATGAGTGGCCATAGGTTTAAAAGTGGTCCTGCTGGTTTGCCTGAACACACGCAAGGCCTTTATTGACCTTAGACGAACAGCGTGAGAAGCTACTAATCCTGGATGAAGCGCAACTGAGAGAGGCGTGTGTGTGTCTGCTGCTAAAGGCATTGACCTTTGGGCCGTGTGTAGTGTGTGATTCTGCACCGTGTGCTAAGTGCTACTGCACTGGGGGCCTGACCAAGGCCCTTTTTGCACACGTCACACACCCAGGAGAGGGTAGAGGCCAGCTGGGATTATATAGATACACATGCTTGTGCACATACACACATATATAGAGACGGAATTTGAACATGAATTATGAATTAAAGATAAAAAATATATATAATAAAACAGCAGGTCAAAATAAAGAAAGACTTGGTGTTATTTCTTCCACCTCTGTCTTATTGTTCAGACACCTGCAAATGGTCAGTCTATAGGGAGATGCCATGCAAAAAGGCTGGAAGATTAGAGTCCTAGCAGTATAAACATAAATGGGGAAGAGAGCAGACTCAGGTTTAGCTCTGCTCTGGGAGAGAGAGAGCAGAGGAGATCACCTGTCACTGCCCACCAGGAATGATTCATGTGAACAATTTGTCCTAATTACTCCAGCCCGCTTTTGTCGCTATTAATCACACACGCACGCACACACACAGGACCAGTCAGTGGAGATCAGTGCCCTCGCAGATTGAAATAGATGGCCAGGACGATGGTGAGGAGGATGATTGCGCCCAGGATGAAGACCAGGATCCGATTCTGAATGATCCTGCGTATACACACACAGACACATAGAGAGAACGTGTTAATTCAAACAGAACTATTCTTCATTTAAACATCTTCAGAGCTAACATGCAATGTGACCAACGCAATTAATTCTATGATTATGATAAACCATTAGATCTCCATATATTAAAGTCATGACTATTTATCTTTTTAAAATTTGTCTTTAATCAAATAGCTCTCTTGCAGGAAAACACACACACACACACACACACACACACACACACAGACACAGACACAGACACATACTTTAACAGTCCATGAGACTTTTGTGCATAAACTAGACAGTGGGAAGCCTAAATCTATCCCTAAACTTACCCTGACCTAACTCAAAACAAACAAACAAACAAACACAACACTTATCCTTGTGACCTGCCCAATAACCCAGCAAATGGGCCATTTCTTGCTAAGAGCGATATAAGCAGTTGCAGAGGCCATAAGTACTGGCCCCACGAGAATGTATGTATTTTCTGGCAGAAAAATCTCTCATGAAGACGTCATTAATTGCCTCCAAAAACAAAAAAAGCACAAATGTGCTTTATATATACTATATGTGCCAATAGTGCTACTGAGAAATGTCCCTGACCCCACAAGTTCAAAGTCTGACACAAAATTTCCTCACATAAGCATTTAAAACGTATTCTAAAGTAAAATGGAAAAAGTGCCTCATAGCTAAAAACTGTGAATTACCGATTAAAATTTCCATAAAACGTCATTCCAGATTTTCTGTTGTCATTTAGTCCAACTTTAAAAAAGATAGATACAAGTAGCAAAAAAAAAGTGGTGTGGGACCGAGAAAGGGGAAGACAAACGGGTGGGACCCCTGGGTGGGTCTCTAGTGGTGGCTTGTGCCCCCGTCACTCCTGATAAATGACAGAATTATCCCATGTGCTGACATGTGGAGAGAGCAGGGCCAGTGTCCACTGCACCAAACAGGAGATGAATAACCCCCACCCTCCCCATTCATCACCACTGCAGCCGAGCAGCACCTCGTCCTGCCCCATACACACACACACACACACACACACACACACTCACACACACACACACACCCTGCACTTCTGCAACTGCATTTAGTAATAGCATCCACAAAACGTTTGTCCAAAGACCAGTGAAAAGGCCCTCTCTACTAGGCTCCTCATCAATATGAATATTCGCGCCCATACCAATGCTGACATTGAATTTCCAATTACAAAAAACAGCAAGGGGTGTATTTTTTGTAAGGTGAGTTTTACAGGTTTTGTTGGATTCTGTTAAGCAGTTCTTCTTCTTGTTTTTCACCATACTTTTTTGTCTGTATGTGTTATAACATTATTCTAACGCTACAAGTTAGGTTTGGATGTATGATACATGTCTATGGTGATGTCGTGTGTTAAAATTTACCTGTTCAGGTGTTTTATCAGGGTTGCCAATACCCATATCCTACATCTTTCTTGTATAATTCTGTTTTACATGAACATTTCTTACCTCTCTTTAGTCCTTAGAACTAAACGGGCTGATTTTATTACTGTGTTTTTTAGTCTAATATAAGATAAATGAACTCTGTTCTGATTGGCTGCCCTGTATTGTGCCTCATTCAAAAAGAAGTCCATGCTAGAAAACTCCTTATAACTGTGAATGGGTGGAGCTAAACTGCTGTAGGCTAAATAGGTGGATGTATGCAAATGAGTTGGTACTTGCGACATTGCAGAAACAATTCATTCAAAACAGGCTGTTTTTATAAGCTTAGTTTCTATATGGACTGTATGGTGTTGGGAGTGAACGGTACATTTTAAAACTGTTTACAATGTTTACAATGTTTACAAATTACTTCAATATCCTGTATTTTAAAAAGTGGTAGTTTTCCATGATACAGGCCCTTTGAAATCAGATGACTTTATCACACACACAATGTCTATCAGCTGGGCTCTTCTCTTATGCTCAAAGACAAGCATGCTCTCTGGTAAATAATAAGTAACGGAATAACAATCACACTTAACTTTACACCTGTAATGGATCTCAAGTCTAGTCAAGGCTACTATCAACATCACTGTTGCTACCACTGTAGATTTTATGACTGCCAAAAAATGTTGTCCTTGAGTGAGCCCCAACTATAGGAGCATTTACAAGTTGGCTACAATACATAAGAGTATATAAGAAAGTTTAGGCTAATAGAGCGGAAGGTTAGTGAGTATGCATTGGCTTTAAGTGAGAGCTCTGAACAGTGTAAAGGCTTTCTCTCATTTGTTGCCAGGACTGCATAATTCCAAGCATGTACATAGCAGAGGACATTAATCAAATCAAATAATTAAACTTGTTTAGCAAGGCCAGTTCTCCCCCATGTCTCTTTAACAAACATTCATTATTTACAGACACTTAAACACATGCACACACACACACACACACACACTAGCGCGCACACACACACACACATACATTCATCCTGCAGAGAGACCAGGGTGAACGTTATGTTAAGAAGGCTGTGGGCGCCCAATGCTGGAATGAAAAGCCAGATATCCAAAGAGTTAAATGTCTCTAAAATTTTTGGCCTCAAACATATATTTTTGAAAAATACGTTCATGGTGGAGAGTTAAATGCAGGACATTTTTTTATGTTCCACTATTTCAATCATCAACATTACCACTCTGAATGACTTTGTTAACATTGGAATTCCCCTTTAAGATCTATTGACAACATTAATAACCTATATTGATCACAAACATGTAAAAGTGAAGTTGAGCGCTTCATTCTTCCATCAGGGCTGAAATAGAAGTGCAAGTACATTATTGTTCCAAAGTTTGAATTCAATGTTTTCAATAGTATAAAACTAACTTGGTTACAGAGAAATGTATAAAATGATCAAGCATGTTTGAAAGGAGCAAATAATTCATAGGAAACTTTAAATTAGCTGTAAAAATTAAGAGATGTTAGATGTGTCCAGAATGATGAATGGCACTGAAGATGATTTTAAAATTGACATATAAAATTAATATTCAGAATGCCTTATATTTCAGAAGTGGTGATCAAATCTGAAGGCAGATAACTTCACAGAAAATGATCATAAATAGATAATCATAGTATCTAGTGTATAATTAAATAACTTTGTTGTTTCCAAAATAATTAAAACACCTTCTGGTGTCTAAATTACAATATCATTGTGGAACTTATTGTATAAAATTACTAATTATTAATATGATGAGCGAGTTCAAACTTTTGAGAGGTAGTGTGTACAGGACTGGACCGCTTGGGCCACACAGCATCACAGTGCAACTGAGAGGCGTGTGTGTTTTTTTCTCCCCTACACGTGGCTGTTTCAGTGCTAGTAGAAGCTGGGCGTTTGAACTGTAGGGGCTGCCAACAGTAATGTAGATGAATCTGGTTTTGGTGGGGTTTGTGTGACAGGGCACTGAAAGGGGGGGAGGAGAGGCCCCAGGCGCTCGGGGGCCACTCATCACTCACTCTAGCCACGTTTCCCTCTCTTTAACTGTTTAACATCCCAGCCTGCGCAGCGTACAGCACACTCACACTTAACTTTGGTGGAGAGCTCGGTTATTTAAGGAGAGCAGAGGAGCTCTTTGGTTACACACACATATACATTCTATCCATAATGACCCTGTGTCAGTGGCTTTCAATCCTGCCACTACAGAGTGGACGTGGCTATCCACATGTGAACAGCTCAGAGCTGCTCTATGCTCGGACCTCCAGTGCATTTTGAATAAAAGCAGCAGTGAGAGAGAATGAGCAGAGGTATAAAATTGCACTGATGCACTGTAATGGATTGATCTTAAGGCAGCAATTCAACTGCATTAATTCTAAAACAACTATAATTCATTATAATATTATTCCAAGTATGGAGTCATATTTTGTCCAAAATAAAACTCTGAGGTTGTTTTGAAACATGAAGAAAATCCCTCCCAAAAATGCATAGTGTATTGCTGTTGCCTGTATTTCATACTGTGTAAAAAGGTCCACCAATCATGTTTGTGTATTCAGTTTCAGTACAGCTCAACATTAGTTTTGAAAGAAAAAAAAAATCAAATTGTGGTGAAACTTGAGGTTATTATCCACAGGATCATTTTCAAAAAGAATCAGAATCGCTGTAGTGAAATTTGAACATTTAATAGTGTTAATTTTTTCAATATCGATACTAATATAGCCACCTTAACCTTGATATCAATTTCTGAACAATACTTTTTTTCAATACCTTCTTTTTAACTACAAACCGAAAGTTGGTGTGGCTTAAATCAGAAATGCGTGAGGTGCTGAAAGTGACCACAATGGTCTGACTGACCACAAAGGATTGCAGACAAATTATCCGAATTCGGAATGTAATTAAGACAGCAAATCAGCTGTCTAGACATTAGAACGAGCTTGCTGAGTGGCTCACGGACCCCCAGGCTGACCATTCGGAAGTACTAAAGTAATTCAGTCGGTACCATAAAAACATAGAATTTCGATACCCAGACCATGTGAATAAAATCCTAAAGAATCACAATTTAATCAACTGAATCACTTCCTAAAGAATTGTAATTTAACAGAATTGCTGTGAGGTCAGAAGTTCACACCCCCTGCAGCAGATAAGAGAGGTAGAGGTAGATGGTGGGATGGTGAAGCTGGAAGGGCCTGGTGGTGTCTAGAGTCTGATGGAGGCTCTATCCTGTGCTGAGCCATGGCCAGAAAAGAACAGAGCAAAAGCAGAAGCCATCAAACCGCATCCATCCTCTCCGTCTGACACATGACAGAGGGTTGGGGGGAAAACTGCTCGCGCTGTCACAGCTCACAGCTCAGGGAGATCCTTACACACTTCTCACACACACACACCAGCACACATGAGCATACACATGCACACACACATACTTTCACTGAGCATGAGGAGGTACGTTACACGTCCTACATGAAGCCAGGCACAGTGAACCGCAATGGCAGACAAGTGTGTCAGTGCCGCTCTCGCCAAAATAACTCCTTCCAAAAGCAGCAGCCAAAATTATACTGAGTCAATGGGTTAAG